TATCATAAAGCAGATCGGCCCGACCGATCGCCAGATCATCCCGGGACGATCAGACCAACAAATATCGTCCTGGACGGTCCCCAGAACTATTCTCAGGCCGATATTTTCTACAGTGCCGATCGGCCTGGACGATCTAAAATCATCCCGGACGATTCTGGGAGGAAAATTCAAGCCATAGAGGAACAGTAAGGGAACGAGGTCTCACACTACCGTCCGATCTGATGATCTTGACAGACATCTGCAGTTGTTTTTGAGGTTGAAGCCTCCGGGGTTTGAGGGCGCTATTGAGCCCAGAGCTGCTGAGGAGTGGCTGAGGAGGCTGGAAAAGACTTTTGATGGGATGCAGTGTCCTGCGGATAGGAAGGTCCCGTTAGCAGTGTTTTTGCTAGATGGAGAGGCTGAGCACTGGTGGGTTGGCCAGCAGGAAGCCAAGTTTCAGGGCAGACTGAACTCTTTGATCACTTTGGAAGAGTTCACTGAGGTATTCCAAGATTGGTTCGTTCCCCCTTCTGCACGAAAGCAGATGCAGGAGACTTTTCTGAGGCTGGTTCAGGGGAGCAAGACGGTGATGCAGTATGAGGCTGAGTTTACTGCCTTAGCCAGGTATGCTCCGCAGTTGGTTAGTACTTCTGCTGAGAAGTGCTATCGATTTCCCCTCAGAAATCGGACTACGAGGTACTCTGAGACAGCCCCTGATACCGTTCCGGATCACTGATTTTTCTGAGCTTGTGGAGCGAGCTCGTTTGATAGAGAATGACATGATGGCTACTCAGCAGCGGTGGACTGCGAGTAGGAAGAGATTTGGAGGTGAGGCTTCTGGCAGTGATTCCTCTGGGAAGAGGAGATTTGTAGCTGGTTCTGGATCCGGAGTCACCATATTTGACTCCAGGAGGAGCGGAGGGTCGTCTGGTACTGCTACCAGTACGACGAGTTCTGGTTCTGTCAGTATGGCACCTGTGTGCCAGAATTGTGGACGCCGACACTTTGGCCAGTGCTACAGGATGGCTGGTCTGTGCTTCCGATGTGGTCAGCCAGGACATCGGATTGCTGAGTGTCCACAGATGGGATTTGATCGGCGTTCTGAGTTCCGATCTGAGGGTTCTGTTAGACCTGTCAGTTCAGAAGGAAGACTGAGGACTGTTCCTCCTCGTCCTGAGGGATTTTTTGGTAGAGGTGGTAGTTCTAGTT